CTCGCCAATTATCGAAGAAACATAGTCCATCCGTAATAAACTCTATGTCTAGATTATCCGCGTAGATTAGACACACTGGACTACGTGAAAATTAATCTCTATTCAAGAGATTGTACTTTAGATTTTGGAAGTAAGTTATCGTTTCGATTAATTCTCGTGCGTTATTTGTCTTTTATGTTGGAAAATTTTACATGCGTTTGTCAATTTTAAAATTCGAAAATTTTACACGTGTTGGAAAATTGATTTTTACTTGTCGTTACCAACCATTTAATTATCCTAGAGAATCGTATTATTTAATTATTTAATTATTCAATTACGTTGCATTTACAATCTGTAGTGTTTCTTCTTTTCTATTTACCAAAAATTCAATTCTTCCATTCAACAATTGGCTGAGAATATTGGACTACGTGAAAATTAATCTCTATTCAAGAGATTGTACTTTGGAATTAAGTTATTTTGGAAGTAAGTTATCGTTTCGAATAATTCTCGTGCGTTATTTGTCTTTTATGTTGGAAAATTTTACATACGTTTGTCAATTTAAAAATTTGAAAACTTTACATGTGTTGGAAAATTGATTTTTACTTGTTATCAACCATTTAATCACCCTAGAGAATCGTATTATTTAATTATTTAATTATTCAATTACGTTGCATTTACGATCTGTAGTATTTCTTCTTTTCTATTTACCAAAAATTCAATTCTTCCATTTAACAATTGGCTGAGAATATTTGATGATACTCGCTGAGCTTATCTTCCATTCTGTAGTTAGAAACAATTACTTACAATTACTCAAAACATTAGATTCATTTTCAAACAGACTATAGATTTACAACAATCTTCACTAAACTTATCTTTCATCTTCCATTTAAAAAGTTACTCCATATGAATGACATCATACTTAACGACCTTCTTTGAGTTTATCCTCCGTGCACTTAAAATTGAATTACTGCTGCAAAAAATGGACAGTGTTAAAAATTAACGATCTCCATATTACATCATATCATTTCATTCAATGAATGAAACATACCTTCCATCCTCCGCTTAAACAAAGTTACTCGAAAACGCCAGAAGAAGGAAATCATTTCGATCTCCGATGGGGTTCTCGCCGTTCTCACTGTCCCCGAACCACAAAAGATCAGGCTACACCGAGAGAAAACGTTACCCCTGATCGTTTAACCGTGGTCGAACTCGCAGCGTCGACAAATTGGCGGCGACTTCTTCTCGCGGTAATAGGACAGGAAGAAAAAGAGTCGGTAGTCGGAGAAGGTGCAGAAGAAGGGAAATGAAAAGGGTAAACGGGGAGGGACGAGGACCGCGGGATCGACGTTAATCAAGAGTGCAGCAAGGCCAGCAGCGGCCAAGCGCGAGAAGAAGACGAGAGAAGGAGAGAAAGAGAGGAGCCATTCGGTCCATCTGGCTCTGTGTCTCGGTGAAATTAAAACCTCTCTCTCTCTCTCTCTCTCTCTCTCTCTCTCTCTCTCTCTCTCTCTCTCTCTCTCTCCGCACGTGTTCTCCGCGGCACGTGGCCTCCGCTCGTGCGCGAGACGCCCAAAGCTTGATTTACATCACTTCCGTCTCACGTTGCCTTCTACGCGGACGATGCTAATCTCGATGCAGGCGCGCCGATAACCTCCACTGAATTTTAATGGGAATATTTACCGAGCACTTGAACCACCGTCGCATCAGGCGAGTCAGTTAAATCGTCCAGGCTTTGCTCGGCCTCCTCGTGATTCTATTAGGGGATGCTCGTGACAATGGCACACGCTTGTGTCTTCTGTCTCCGGTTTCTCGGTGATACGGACGTTGTTTGAATAAAATATTTGAAATACGATCATTCTAGACTCGACGATGGGCGTTGAAATAATCTCATTGGCGTTTGCTCGTTTGATTTTTTTTTCATGAAATTATTGAATTACTTGGCTATCTTATCCGTTTCTTCAGATAGTTTCTAATCGTGCTATAAACTTCACTTTCTGGCGAAACTGATGGTCAGTTAACTGGGATAAATGATTGATTTAGGTCCAAGATAAAGTTACTTACTTAAACGAAGATAATATAATTTCGTGGATCATTAGTTATCAGTTTTTATCTTTGTTTCAAATAAAATTTGCCCAATCTCGTAGGATTCTGGTCAAATTTCTATTTTATATATATATATTTTTTAATCTGTTAGATATATGATAAAAGAAAATAAACGGTAGAAGATTTGTTTGTTCAACTGATTTAATAGAAATTGACAAGTTCAAAAGACAAAAAGAGTTGATTGTGTATTGAATGAGAGTTTATTTGAATTGTTGGTCTGTGTACTTTGTCTTGTCCAATTATCCATCACCAACGTTGTTATTTAATAAACGTCATTTATATTTTATCTCTGCATGTACATATGTCAGGTGTTTAACCCTAGGAATACCATGCCGGAGTCACTGGTGACTCGTCGTACTGCGTCGTTTTGAAAACGATTACGCACACAGTGAGAAGCCACATATTTGCGTGAGGCAAAAAAATGACACCACAGCTCGACCTTACCGAGAATTTCCAGATATCCTGGCATTCTACCATCTTGGTAAGGGTAGAAACATAGCCAAGCCTAGGGAAAAGGATCCTTGGCTGGCAGCAAAAAGTCACGTTGCAACATTTAGTCAGTCTTTCATGAGGAGAGAAGCAGTACACATCTCCCAGACTCGTATCATATACGCAATATTTGTATAGTTAGTGAAATACAATCCACCATACAATCATCCTTTTATTACAATAAGCGTGCTAGATGCTCTTTCTGTATAGGAAGTAATAACAGATACTCGCCTGTATGCGATTCATGCAAAAGAAATGTTTGTAATGCCCACTCAACAAAAATCCAAAAAATTATATGTAATGATACGCAATACTTCGCGATGCGTATAATTTTTTTACAATTTACCAATCGATTATTTTTTTGTATACATACAACGAAAATCCGAGCATAACTCGAAATCTGTTACATTGTATTATAGTAACGTCTAGAGCTCGAACAAACCGTAACTCGTACAGTATTGGTGGAGGTCTCGAGCATGAACTATGTGTTAGTGAAGTATCGGTGTGAGTCAGCAGTGACTCCGGCATGGGTTACTCTGTTGCGGTACTCGGAGGGTTAAAGTTCCTGATTCCTTCTGAAGGGCTGATATATATAAGCTATGGTTATTTACATATGTACATACACTTATTTACAATTGGTGCGAGGATGAGGGAAGGAGATGAAAGGATTGGATCTAGGTGATGAGTAAAAAGGTGAGGAAATGCGTTTCGTCTCAGAGTCGCTGCCTAGACTCATCAGTGGGGCTGATGGCAGCGACCTCTTACCCCAGACGCTTGTTTTTTCTAACTACTCGCTAGGCTGGAACGATCACCTTCCTAGCGGTGTTCCGCACTCTGTTTGCTTAACGTCGAATATCGTTAGACTTCGACGCTAGGCGCACAGCCACTTGCAGCTTGTACAAGTCGGTGTTCGAAACTCGTACTCGAGGGACTCTAGGCCGCTACACTTCAGAATAGAAGTTGGCTAACTGGCGGCCCTTGCCCCTACTTTCCTGATCGCTAGCGCTACCCCCTCCACTGCTCCAGGAAATTTCAACGTAGAGGGGAGATCGATGCAGTGGAGGGGGTAGCGCCGCCAGTTGCCCAATTCTGCCTCGAAATATTGCCTCTAACAAGCCCAACTTACACATTACGCGCGATACGTCCCCAGTCCACCGTGTCTTGGCGTTGCTATCGATTTCGGCAGGCTGAAAAATCGCCTCGGCCCGTCCGTGAAAAAGGAAACATCGTAGATTGCAAGCGGTTGAGAGTTTGGCGAAGATCGGCGCAATAAGAAGGTGGAACGGCCACTCGTGAGCGGTTTTAAGTGCACGGTCTCCGCAGTCGAAATATATCGGCAAGACATGAATTACGCCGGCGGGGAACGTGACCGTTCGCCCCGTGGTGTAATTGCAACGAAAGAGTTTCGTGCCTGAGCAGGAAGGGTTTATCGGCTCGTTAAATCGAATTTACTGGATTCATCGTTTAATTCGCGTGTGCGGCCACGCGCGCGCGCGGTATTTACATAAACCGATAATCGTTAGCTCGCACGCCACCGGCTCCAGGAATTTAATAACGAGAGCTCGTTCTCGTTGCTCGTTTCGCGCTCTCGTTCACCTGTTTCGCCGAGGGGGCGAAACAAGTTCGGCGAGGGATGATTTCTTTGATCGTCCTCGAGTATTTAAGGGATGATCCGGAGGTATTTCTAAGAACCGTTTAACACAACCGCTGCGTATCGTTGGTCTGTTAACCAGATTGTTTCCTCATCAATGTTGGGCAAAAGTTTGTTTGGATAAAGTTTTGTTCGTCCATCGTCCAATCGAACGAGACAATGATTAGTCAGATAAAGATTTATTCGAGCAAGAAATTTGCTCTTTATTGTATTTATTCGATTGTAACGTGTCGTGTTTAACGTGTAAATTTTGAAGTAATTTTCACACGCTTGATGTTTTTCTGTTTTTTCAAACTCACGCGCGCGTGCAGTTATACGTGTACGTGATCGAACGTATGAAATCCGTATGAAAATCCGAGAAATTTTTGTATCATGATCGAATGAAGCGTTCGAACGAAGGTTTGTGACGATGAATAATTATTACACGAATAAAATGCCCGACTGAAAGAAATATACTCGAATTTAATTATTTAATTTTAGACAAACATTTATTCAAAGTTATTCTCTTCGTATCTTCTTTCGATATGAATAAATTCATTACTCCATTCGTACAGACGACGAAGAAATAAAAGCGGCGCTGATAGTTTAATTCAGCACCCTCGGAAGAGATTTCTTTTCGCAAATTGGAAAATACTGCACTTACCTTTGGATACTATTCTGCACTTGCGAGGGTGAGCTGGAGAGTTTTTCTCTTCGGCTGAACGAAAAAATGAAACGGGATGACACATTTTTATGGAACAACGTAAGAACGTAAGAAACAATGTAAATATGTACTTCGTACTTCGTAATGGTAATTTATTACAATTTGTACAGATTACAAATCGGTACCTATGGTGTCGCGTTCCTCGTCAGACGTCTTAAAGGGAGCGGATATTGAGCAGAACGCCGTTCGTCGCTGCGCTAACGTTATTCGTACTCGTTTTAATATTTAATTTTACCCCTGTATGTGTATATATATCTATATATATCGTCGACGCGCTCGGTGAACACTGGGGTTGCTAAACGAATCGCGCTGTCCAAACCCGATTTGAAACGAAGAGGGAGGGGGGGGGGGGGGAAAGGGGGGGGGAAAAAAAGGGAAAAAGAAAGAAAAAAAGAAATAGAAGGAGAACAATTATATATGGATCGACGACAAACACCGTGCGAAACGAACGAAGAAGCCGGAGGAAAACGATCGATCTTCGAAAGGGACGATCTTTTTACGCCTGTTTCAGGGGACGTGTAGGTATTCACACACAGGAGGCATACGTTGCAACGAAACATTCCACCTTGCCTCTCGTCGAATTCAACCACGTGCCACCGCGTTGCTCTTTTCCTTCTCTCTTATTACCTTTCTTCTTTCTTCGTTTTTTTCTCTCTCTCTCTCTCTCTTTTACTTTGAGTAACGTGAGAAAAGTCGAATTTCCTTCTCCAACCCTCCGCAGGCAAGCTCCGAGCGACCCGCGAAGTAGAATTTCACTCGCGAATTTTTTCCTAAGCGAATTCTTGTTTCTTGAGAGGGCTTGACTGATTGCACAGTGTAGCGGGAACTTTCAAAAATTCTTTACAGTTTTTTCTTTTTTTTTTTCGAAAACCCAGTTCGAAAGAATTCGAGTTAGCATCCCCTAACGTGGACGAGGGGACGATACTGTTGCCCGCGGAGGGTGGATCACCATTCTACGCGGCGATTCTTTTTTTTTTTTTTTTTTTTTTTCTTTTTTCGTTTTGTTCGGGGATTGAATGAAAACAGTGCTAACTGGCCACGAAACGAAAGTCACGCCACGGGCGAGTATCTATCTGTCGCGTGTCGAATATACCTGCTCGATATTCTTCTCGACCTCCCGCTCAACACACAGGCCCACTCGTGAATAAAAATCAATTGTTATTCGAGCTATCTACTCCATACATAGTAACATATATAACTGGAAGCCCTAGACTACTAGGTTTTACATGGACGATGTTTTCTTTTTTTTTCTTTTCTTTTTTCCTTTGTTTTCTTATTTATTCCTCTTCCTTCTGTTTTCCTGTTTCTTTTTCTCTCTCTCTCTCTCTCTCTCTTTCTTTTGTGTTTCAATCAGTGGTTTTGTGTTTCAAACAGTGGCAGTGGCGTGCTGGCGGGCGCGTGTGAGCTACCTGCTGGAGGTGATCATCGTCATCGATGGTGAGGAGATGAGAGACACGATCGCTGGTAAGCTGAAGATCATCGTCGTTGCTGTAGTCCAGGCTGTGATGCTCGGGCTTGCTGAGCTGCTGCTATCTGCGAATCGAAGAGAAAGGTCAGTGATACTGATACGTATAAATACTGTTTTTTTTTTATTTTCTTTACTTCTCTCACTTTTCTTTTTAATTAAGGAAATAGATGGAAAGAGAAATGTGAAATGTTAATAATTGGAAAAGAATCGATCGTTTTAAATTTTATTCCTTTTTTTTTTTTTCCTTTTTATTCGTCGAATGAAAAGTATGGAGATTAGAAATTCGAAAAATTGAAAATAATTCGCTGTACCGTTCCTTCTTTTTTTCTTTTTTTCATTTAATCCTTTTAGACTTTACCCTCTGTTCTCTTTTCAATTAAGGAAACAGGTCAAAAAGGAAGTACGAAATTCAGAAATTCGAGAAATTGGAAATAATCTGACGTTATTGTCGTTTCTCATTTTTTCATTTGACACTTTCTTTTTTTTCCACAAAAGAAGTAACCTGAAATGGAAATATAAAAATTGAAAATATAATACATGAAAAAGAGTTGAAAATGATCTGGTATATCGTTTCTCATTATTCTTCCCTTTTTTTGGAAGGAGTTATGAGTCTGGAAATAAAGAAGAGGATGAAAATTAGTACTTTCGCGTAATGTATGTACCCTTTTATCTCGCTTTCGTATCCGGTTGTTTTATTTGAACGTACCCCATTACTGAGAAAAGGTAAATGAAAATTGATAATTATTAGAATTGAGGACGATCCTGCGTGGTTTCCTTCTTTTGCGCGAGGATACCGTTATCGATGTTAATATGGATGAAAATTAGTAATTCCAGAAGTCGATACGATACTTTTATTGGAAGAGGATGTTTGAAATACTTTCGACTTTTTAGTTTTTATTTAACACTAGAACTATCGACGATTGGACCGTAAAATTTCCATCAGGCACATAAAAGTAAAAAAAAGAAGAAAGGAAAACTTTATAACATAGTGGAGTACACAAGCTTTCATTTATACATTTTACGAAAAATCATTTAAATATCAAAAAAGTACGTTATTTTACATCTGCCAAATTTTTAACAATAATTACTTAAATACTTAGAGTGCGCACTCTTATTCAAAATTCTTTTTAGATTATTTTTTATTACGAATGATGAAATTTTTAAATTGTACATGTAATATCTATATTATTACACAATAATTCTTCGTTATATTATTAATACAATAATTCTTCGTTATTTGCCGTGGTAAAGAGGCTTTCGAGCAAAGATATTTCCAAACATATTTTGCTTTCCTTTTTGAAAATTCTTGACACGATTACTCGAGCAGGCTTAAAAGCATTGAAAATTTCATACGATTTCCTTTTTCTCTGATTTTCTGTTTCTTTTTTTTTGTTTTTTTTTTTGTTTTTACTTCTCTGGACATGGAAACGAAATCACGATATTTGATTACAGGAATGGGAAAAAGACGTGGAAAAAAAGCAGAGTGTCGTTCGAACGGCTTCGAACTCGCTCGCTATCGTTCAAATTGTACGATAAACAAAGCTGTCGTTCGATGGGGAAACTCGTTCAAAAAAAAAA